CGAGAAAGAATAAGAAAACTAATTTGGGAATGGTTAAATAACTAATTGGTGAATATTAAAGAACAGAACTTGTATATATCACTCATGAATACGAGTGAGACCTCCAAAATCAGTATTATAGCAACGGGCAATGCATTCTAAATTAAAACGTAACTAAATTTAAAATCACGCACTGGACATTTAAGTAAACTTTGATGTCAGCCTTAATTACCATATGCATTCTTGTAGTGATATATATATTTTCGTGCTAAGAAACCCCAACGACGTACCAGAATGCGTGTTTGTGGTGCTTTCACTGGATAGTCTGGTCCACACTCGATTGTTTACAGACCGCGTCGTACAGCTATAATACTGCTGAATGCGGCATAAAAAACAGACTCGTGATATAGTCGGGAAATGTACAATCGACTCTGCTTTTAGCAGAGATTTCTTACGGATATGGAAAGGGCATATGCGCATAATTACTCAGTTAACAGCAGCACATGTAGCTTTACATATACGAGAAGTACTAAGCTCCACATTATCATCAGATGCAATTGTAACACCAAGGTCGCCTACCGCAACAACTCCTGACTAGATTTAATGGCGAGAAGAACACGTTCGGACAACATGAACTATTAGTCCTTTGTGATTTGCACCGACAAGGAGGCGCTCCAGGCATCGCTACACAATTAGCATCAGGTGCAACTTGGAAACTTTGACTGACTATGTTTCGTGTTTCATCTGCATGCATTACCTCATATATTAGTAAATATATAACATCAACGCCACAGAATAACCAGAATAATTTTTATAGCTGAACGACTAGTTAATAATTAACAAAGGGATATGAGGAATGAAGTGTACACACAGACATTTATATCCAAATCTATAAAGAGACGTGCATGTGCGTGCGTGTCTGTGAGTTCTGTGTGTGTGCGCTTGTACTATTCCAGACTTGCGCCAGATCCATGATGCTAGCCCCCAGAGATACCATACAACGGTAGGGATACCCAATCGGACAGATTGTACACATCGGACCAACTCAGTTGTTTATATGTCCACAGGAGCACCACCAAAGTTACAACAAGAACCATCTTCTATCTTTTATATATTTTCTTTTGATGAGGCCAGGGTTCGAACTACCGACCTTCCTCTACCAGTAGGCGCCGTATTCACTGTATCCACTAGGCCACGAACCCTCATACTTCTACACGGAAGCTGTGTGTATGCATAGTGGGAAATTAGTTGAGTTCACGATGAACAACAAAATTAAAAGAACCTAATGCTCTCGATTTTTTTTCCCACATTTATCTTTACGAGATGAATGATATTGACTGAAATCAATTCATTAATTAGTTCCTGTACAAGATTAAGATGACTGGTTTCATTTCACAAAACAAATGACATTAAACAATCAACGTTTTCCTTCGTGAAACACCCATTATTTCTAATCACAGTTTACATTGTTAAACATTTACCTGTTAAGTATGGGAATGGCGTGGTCAATTAGAAGGTTTTCTCAACTAAGTACGACTAAGGATAAGTATGGCTTAAGAATGGCCCTATGTGGATCGCGCCGATCGTGAGAATGGATTGTTCAGTACCCGCTGGTGACATAACAATCAATTAGTACTCTGGGCAAGGTATATTCACATAGACATTGTGTTGTTTTAATCAATCAGTCTCATGTTGTGTTCGACAAAAACACCGAGTGGTGCTAGAAAAACAGGTAGATGTGTGGACTAGGTACGTTTAGTGAATGGTGCAAGCACTCTCAATCGACCGCCTGCTCTTCAAGTGAGATACTGGGGGCAATACTCTTTTTAGTGTTCCATTTTCAAAATTTCTGTTGTGATTTTAAAAACAGTATGGTCAGTCTGATTCATCTAAAGTTTTGAAACGTGTCAATAATGAGTATATTTGCAGGCCTTACTGTTGTATTCATAAGGTATAAACTGATGAAAATTCTTTCTGTTAGTGTCCATACCATAGCTATGCCTTACATCCATGCTTGAAGAGCGGAACCTATCAAATGGATTTATAACAGGGTCTTCACACCTTATTCATTTAGTATATAACCATTAGCTTAACACACACATCGGGAATAAGGTTAAACGGGAAAATGTTTCGCGGACATCGGTGCGCAACTGCAAATATGGCATTCAAGTATGCCGTTTTTAAACAAAAAGAACTGCTGGAAATTGCAACAGTTTGGTCATTTTAACACGGGAAAATTCCAATCTGAACTGTATAAACAACTAAAAATAAAGCCATGTGTTTTCAAATAATTGTCAATTTCTACTTTCCGGGAGACAGAAATACCGTGTCCCGAAGGATTAACTGAGGAAAATATTCTGTCGTAATAAAACGTCCAATCTGACAAGAAACGCCAGTTAAGTAGCGTCAAAGTAACTTTCAGATAAGTTACATTTTTGTTGTGTGTTGTTGCACTTGTCTGTTGAGTGATGTGTAACTTTTGAAATCACTCCTGTCGTCTATGTATGTAATAATGGTTGCTTCTTGAGCAACGGGAGAACTGAGAAGCAGAAGCAGATCTAGAGATTGTTGTTTCTCATGTAGACTCACCATTCACAGTTTGATGGTAGTAGACTAAATTAACCGTGTCTTTCGTTCCAAACAAATTAATAGCTCAGTGAAAAACAACACCCAGCCACGTACAGTACTGCCTCAATCTACCCACACTGTTAAAACAAGGAAATGATTGAAACTAGACCAGCCCAATCTGCTTCAAAGACAAAGACCTTGATGCAGACTTCAGCCCAGCACAAAGTCATATCACACTGGGGATTAATGATGGGCCGATGTGTCGCGTAATTGGTGGACAGCGATAAGGGGTGGGACTTACTTTATCAAAACTTCGCTAATGTTTGTTTTCTACCCGCCGGAGAGGGCCAATCCACGTCAATCAGGATTTTAGCTGGGTATCATCGTACGGATAGATCTCACACGATTTTCACACTCTTAGAATTGTTGAATCCTAGCATTTCAGATATATGGAGACCGGTGTTCCCATGTTTAAGAAAAATTTAGATTCACTGCGTGTGTTGAGTGAGAAGCAGACGACAGGCTTGCTGGCACGTGCTTGTGTTGCAGACGACAACGTTTTGAGTGAGGCGTGCCAAGCAGACGACAGTTGTGGAAGAGGTGAAATGCAACACTCACTGTCATGATTTCAAATCTTGGATTATTTCACAAGGGGGAGACTATAAGCATCATTTAGAGTCAGAACATTATGAAACGGGAACTATACCCCATTCGCCTGTCACTTTGACTGCCATCATTCTGCATTACAGAATAGTTTGTTTATAGTTGATGAAGCGGAAGATCTCTTGACACACGCATGGTCGTCAAGGCATCGACGACGTCAATTTTGCGTATCAAAGATGTGCATGAAGAATCTTCACTTGACTAATTCTTGACGTATTTAAAATTGGAAAGATTTCCAAAACAAATAGAGACAGCTGAAAACAATATCTGAAATTCTGGGTGCTTTCCGAGGAACTTCCTGGGAGGCCAGAAATCATTTTCATGAATTTCCAGAGAAATTGCTGAAGGAAACGCAAGCTGTCCATCAATAGAATGGACGCCATGGCCTTAAACACGGTGTTGCCTGATGGACTCTATGACCTTGGGTCTCAAGGATATCACACCTATCCCCCGGGATCAACTCTGTGGTCCCCAAGAGTGGATTCCTACCCTCAACAAGACTTGCCTCACCACCCTCGACATTCTGAGACCAGGGATATACCCGGAGAACGAGCTCCAGAAGTTCCTGACCACGCAACAGGTAAGACATGTGAACTGTTAAACGTTGTGCAGCATTGGGGTAGTGGTTAAAGCGGCTGCTCGTCACGCTCATGACCTGTGGTCGATTCCCCTCATGGGTACCTGTGTCCCAGAATGGGATGTTACTGGAATATCGCTGAGCATCATAACATCTCACTCACTCACTCAGTACATATATCCAGTACTGGTTACGGTCGTTAAAATTCAAGCAGCGTTCAACTCCACTCATTCAATTACTGCCGGAGTTTGCTCAGGTCTACAAGTCACTCGGAACCCATTCAGAATCCAAACTTAAATCGCTAATGCAAATCTGTCCATAATTAACCTAATTACATACTGACACTGTCTTAGTTAACAAAACTACCTAAGAGGTACTTCTTTGGTGGATAATTTAGAAATTGTGAGACAATATTCGACTTTGTTATGAAAACTGTCAGATGTATTCACACTATCAATAGGTAGACTTCGTTCATTTCAACCATTACATGTTTGGGACTTATAATAATATAACGACTGATTTTAACAGTTTCCAAGAAGCACTGTTCTACTATCTGAACGTGCTGAAAACTTTGACCCCGGCTGACTTTCATTGGAAATGTTTATGCTAATAGTACAATAGTAATGTAAAAAGGTAACCTTGGTCAAAGACTCTCAGTCATGTTGATATGTTTTAGGAGATATTAGGCCTTCAATTCTTGCAACTGTTAAAATCATTTTTGCAGGACGGGTAAATGTAATGCCAATATTTCCGTAATTTGATAAAAACACATTTCCAGTTTTCCAAATGGAGCCCTATCTCATCCTTTAATTAAAAGCGCCCTTTCCTTACCCATGAGAATTCATGTTACGATCGTACGATTCGGGCTATATCAAGAGCATGTGTTGATGAATGACTGTGAAATAGTGATGATACCAGGTGTTCATGTAAAGGTGAAGATATCCTGCCCCGCCAGTGACCGGAATGTAGACACCAGATACTGCTGCAAAGTCTCGTTTAAAACTATGATGTGTCTTGGAAGTCCTAATCACGACATTGCTCCCGGAAGCTGGTAGCTGGTGGCCGTTCACAGTTTCTCGATACATCTTTCGATGATCAGTTAGAACGATAGAAACGTAATGCATAGACTACACCGTAGATGACGTCCCAATATGTTGTGTCTCCCAATACGATGGCAAAGGCACTGGATTTAAAGTTCCATACAGGTCAGGTGTTTATACTTGAATCTATATAAAAAAAACACCCAAAACCCACATTGTCATAACTTCATAGCCAGTGACCTCATAAGCTATGAAATACTCAATTCTGTTTCTGATCCACGTCAACAGTATTGTTGTATTTATTGTTTATACCGTCACACAGCAATATTGGAGATATATGACAGTGGACTGTAATCGCACAACTAAAGACACCGTTAAGGACATTGTGTGTCCCATCCTGTCCACAGAGTACTGAGGTTTGTTGACGGTAGGCCAGGGTAGTGTATCCACCGCTGTGCCAATCCAACTGAAATTATCATGTGATAAAGTAGGTGACGCTGTGCGTTTTGGTGTTTTTTTTAACCTTTTCCCTAACTTCCTGTTAGTCACTTTGAACTAGTTGTAGACAATGGGATTATAGGATTACTCATTGCTCGTCTGTGAACAATGTATATCCCAAACAATGATGATTCATAGTTCATAGAAAATATATTTGTGCATTTGATCTTTCATCTTATCATCGAAAATGTTCATCAGACAAAACACTGGCATGAGTGTACACCTGACACAAATACACTGACTCATGTCCGGGGCGGTCCGGCAGCAGCCTGGTTTCTTAACACAACCAACGCTGTACAAAAATGCATAAAAATATCTCACTATAATTTAAGAACATAGATCAAAGGACAATGCTATGCTTCTTACATCGTGCTGTGTGATGGTTTTGAAGTGATGATAAAGGTTTCTGAGGGAGATGGTTTCCATTCCGTGACACTACGAGACTGTTGATCTGGCTTGGTCTTGGGTTTCAGTGATCCACACAATTACCACCACTATTTTCTCTTTCACTCTCAGTGGAATCAGCGGATACTCGACAGTAGTTATTGACTGTCGTTGACATTTGATATTAACTGTCATTCCTGCTACTTACTTACATTTAGCGCCACTGCTACAACTCTTAATGCATACATGTTACCTCGCTATAGTCAGTGTTCATTTTCATGTTTTTACCATTAAGAATAACGGTATAAGGACGCGTGTCACGTGCAATGTAGTTATTGTCAGCATGGTCTTATTTGTCCAGATGAAAAAACAACCCAAAAAGCCATTGTTCAAAGAGTTAATGTTTTCTGAGCGATGTGATTGCACATGTTCAACCGATTGAACAAATCCTCTTCCTGCATCCAGTTACATGAAGGTAAACGTATGTCATTCACTAACCATACTAGCTGATACATCACGATATCTGCTTCCTACCCATATAAAGAAAGAAAGAAATATACACCGAGACACCCCAGTGAAGCTAGATAACGGTAATAAGTAATTGAACAAATACTCTTAATCGCGACGATAGTGTCCCAAATGGAATTGTGGGATTTACAAATGTGGAACTCACGACTCGCAATGTCCTTTTGTGTATATGCCATTGGGTAATAGATAGTTTCACTGTGTAAGGTGACTTAATAATCAATCATTAATGTACATTTCTTAATTTTCACAGGTTTTTTTCTGTTACGTCAAATGAAATCTGTCTCATGATCTTAAACGCGACACTGAAGCCCGGTTTACCTCACCTCGCCCGATCTAGCAGATGACCCAGGCTGATTAATATCTGTAGTCGACGTTCTGTACAATCAGACATCTTGTCCCCAAAAGGACAAACATGATTTTCATTCAATCAGTTGAATTAACTAGTTGTTTATGAGTATGACACAATTTGTAAATATCAACCAATATATAGTTGTAAAGAAAATAGTATCTGAAATAACAATACACTTCATGACCGGGTCAGGAACACCTTGACTTTATCGGGAAGGGAGTCACTCCCAGGCTCATTGACGGAAACCAAACATACTGTTTACCTTTAACTACTTGAATGTCAGAATGATAAATCATATGTACACTTTGTGACATGTTTGGGTCCAGTGGTATTGCTCAGAATACTGCTGGTGGTCGGCCAAGTATGATTATGAATAAAAACCGTTTAGGGAAAAAAGTTGATGTATTTCCAAGTTTTAACGCTAAATGCGAGAAAGAAAACATCTTATTCTGTAATAGTTCTTCTATTTATATGATTTTCAATAACAAAATAGCATCAATGCGTTTTAATAACAGGATTAGTTTAATCACTGTACGTACACATAATACAGTAAAACATGGGTAGATAACGATGAATAAGTCATACTACGGTTTATAAATAACATCCTATTTAAACGAGTATATGTTTATACGGCAAAACCGAAGTATACGTCCATACAAAATGAGATGGCACCAGCAGCACCTTTGGAGACTTTGAAAATTTGAAAAAATAATCTCATCTACCCAAGACTGAAACAATTTCTGTTGAAGAAATACACCAGCGTGTGGATATGGTGTCGTTCAAGGTGTATACAGCAATTTGAGGAGAAGGGTGGGTTGGGTGCACAAATTCTATAACTGTGCTAAATATTTGGGTGGCAAATGAGGTAGCGATAACGAAAACAAACACACACCCTGACAATATTTATTTATTTATTTATTTATTTATTTATTTATTTATTTATTTATTTATTTATTTATTTATTTATTTATTTATTTATTTATTTATTTATTTATTTATTTATTTATTTATTTATTTATTCTAAATCTGCCCATGTAGAGACATGTACAATTAGCAGTATATTGACTGTATTATAAGATGTCAGTGTAGAGGTGAATAGGTGCGATATATATATATATATATATATACAATGTATACCGAACCCTATCAAAGACGATATTTTGTCGTTGTCTTTACACGGTATCCTCTGTACGTTAATTTGCATAATCTATGACTCTTCATGAATATTACACAAACTTATAGAATAACGCCCGGAAATCCCCTCATGGAAGATTGGGTTTCCAGTAATTGGAAATTCGGAAATCTCACAGACTCCTTGTCTGGGAAAAGACGGTCCAAGTGTGGTATTAACTGCGATGTCTACGTTAGTTCCGGGACGCTAGAAGGTCCTCATGTGATTCTCAATGCTAGGCATTAGCATGTGATAACGGTCAGAGTGCTATTGACACCCCTGTCGTAAATAGTGGACAGTTCGGCTTACCTGGAGGGGTGGGAACACTGGTAATGGAGGGGGCGGAGAAGTATAAAGTTCGCGGCGAGAGGGTAAGGCAGTGGCCTTCAACGAGAAGGCATGATGAAGTATAAAGGAAGAAAAGGAGAACTCTTTTTTTCGTTATAAATAACTGATTTCGTGGTTGCTGGTGGTGGTTATTTTGTCTGGGATCGTCCTCTATTTCCTGATGGAATTTTAAAAATAAGATAAACCCGATTTATTTTACGCTCCCCGGATTGTTCAGAGTGCAAAATGATAATAACCCCCCAAAATCAAATGGACAATTATTTCCCTGTTCCGAATAAATCTCCGCTAAAAGTGGAGTCCATTGTGCGATCCTCACTGTCATAAGAACAAACAGCGATGCCATATCGGTGGCACACGACACAGACATACAAAAGCAAACCTCTGAACTGACTCATGAAAACCGCTTCGAATCAATAAATATAAGATATGTATTGGTTTGCATTGTGTTTCTGTATTTTTAAAGGAAATACGATATAATATGTTCTTTTTGTTAAGATAGATATGAGACTCCCAAGGCCTCTTGTCTATCAGGGATGTAGGTTACATTTATCAGAAACAGTACATGTTGATCGTTGATAGTAGATCATACGATATTGATAGCCGCGTGAGCTAGTGACCAATAACTAAACTCCAAAAACTCAAAACAAGATTACTATATGTCCAAAGTCATCAAGTGGGCATTACG